TAATTTATTTCTTATTATTTATTATTAATAGCGTTCCCTTACTTCAAAAGAATGACACAATTAAAACATTAATTTTCCAGAAAAGGGGAACATTCACTCTGATTTCACTCTGACAAAAAATTATTGATTAATCAAACATTGACAAGAAAAATATTATATTTTTAACGCAATCAAATGTCATTTTTGCTATTTGTATTTCGTAACGTTCTTCAAAGAATTATCCTGTGATAATTTATGAGCTTTTCAACCACTTTCTGTTTGTTATTAAATTTTACTTTACATAAATTTTAATTTAAATCGATTTGTTCATATTACTCGTAAGGTTGGCATTTGATATTCATTTGTTTCCCATTTCTTTTTTATTCCTTTTGAATTGACGTTTTGACGAATTTATATAAAGTCTTTTTGTGATTTATAATATAAGATAATATTTATCTAACACTCATTCATAATATAACTGAAAAATTATCTTTTTTTTTTAAATTGTGTCACTTTTAAAGTATAAGAACGATATAGTTTTTATTTATTTATTATTACCACTTCTTTATTTACCATCATATGATGGCTTATAACATATAGCTAATATTACTTTAGTTAACATTTGATTCTTTTCTTGCTAAAAGGTTCCTGTTCAGTAATCCAATATTTATGTATCGCCGTGTCGTTTTACCAAACAAATTGCATCATATCAATTCATCATCATCGTATCATATCGTAAATGTGCAGAGGAAGAGTAGGGGGAATAAAATAGGAGGGAACAGTAATCTAAATAAAATTGAAACGTATAAAATTAATGTTGGAAAACCGTTCCACTCCAGACTGACATTTATCCCAATATCGGATTTCATCGGGACAAAATTATCCGATGACATGTAACATCGAGCTGCATACCCTCACTCGGCACGACCTAACTCCAAGACCCGATTAAGCGATTGAACTCGATAACATGTAAATACGTTTGCCCAAATTACACGGTAATCCGTCCATCACGAATCTAGGTCAAACCTGGGCAACCATGTGCGAGCCAAATCGAAACTCAAGTGATTTACAATAGTAGTATAAAGGATATTCCATCGTCGTCAAGTATCTTCAACCGAAATATTATAAACACGTGTTGCGCCATGAAATTTATTAAAATTGTTACCAAATTATAGTACTCAAACTAGAGCTTGAGTTTGAGATTAAATTTGACTAATCAAAAAGATCACTAAACTCAATGTTGATTTTCTTTCTCCTAATTGGTTAATTTCATCTTGATCTACAGGCATAACACGCGAATCATGAAATTGCAACTTATCCACAAGACATATCTTTTTTATTTATCTCTCGTGATGTATTTTCATTCTTTAAATTTTTTTAATTAATTCTTATTAATTTTTTGCTTAATTTTTTTTCCGGAGAAAACCAGTTCAGTTGCGTTCGAGCGAAGCGAAGTTTCGAATGTCGTTGTAACTTGCGAAACTGGATGTGAGAAAGAAGATACAACGATGAATAATGACAAGAGATTAATTCTGTTTGAACAGACGCTGAGGGAGAGAGAGGGAGAGAGAGGGCGGGAGGGGGGAGAAAGAGAGAAAGGAAGGTATGCGAAAAGGCAATGTCTCCTTTTTCGCATTCGCCCAATTATGGAAGCGCTCGAGCGACATTGTAAGAAGGATCTCTGGCGCTACCGTGAATAAAAGGCATTTCTTTGCGAGAACTTGGTCCACGACCGTCGATCCTCTAAGGACATTTAACCTTGTTCATTATTCTAGGTAAACACAGAGAATTTTGAAAGAATGTTTCTTCTCAAACGATTTGCTCGAATAGTACGATACTTGAGAATAAGTGGCATGTATTTTAATGAGTCGTTTGAAAAAGGGTGTTCCTTTCTCAATTCTTCAAATTTTTCAAGGATAAAAAAAAGAACATCCAACATAGCATTGAGTATAGAATCGTATGAATTGATAAGATTGTGTAAGGTTACATAAAAATCTATTATTATCTTCTCTCGCAAAGAAAATCTATTTAAAAAGGGGGTGACATTTGCTATTTTGACATAAAGCTGTCCTTAAAATAAATGGTTTCCAAGGGACATTTAAGACTCAGGTGTAACTAGGACGAACTCATCGTCCTATTAATTAGACGAGGAATTTCCACGAAGTCCTAATTTCAGCAGATATCCAGTATGCATAATTTGGCAACATTTGTTTCATTCCTGCATAAAATTCAACACTCCTCTTCCTGTTTCTCCTTGTATTCTTTTTTCTCTTAGTTTTATTTTATTACATTATTTTCAAAAGTAATCCTATAATACAAATGGATATTTAACAATATTGAGATCGAAAGATTTTATCTCAAATTTATACTTTCTGTTTGAAACTTCCTTTTCTATCTACTCTGATTTGTGAAGGCAACGAATCCCTTGCCGAATCCCTTGTGGATTCGGCAAGAAGATTACAACGTGTCTCCTGGATTTTTCGTTAATCCCTCTTTGGCCACTCTCTTGCACCTTAGAATTCCCGTGCTAATCCGGGGCGGTATAACGTGACTTTCGTCGAGTTTCTTCACCGATAGAGAAGCCAAAGCGGAATGAGAGAGAGAGAGAGAGAGAGAGAGAGAGAGAGAGAGAGAGAGAGAGGACGAGGAGTATCCGTCGGTCGGGAGGAATAAGTTAAACGCCTTCGTGTATATAGGGGCAGTGCGCGGGGCGCCGCGGGATGAATAATAATGAGGGACATCCAGGGGTGCGGGGAACACCTTGTCGGGCGTCTTTTCGTAAAAAGGCCGTTAAGGTGCTACCTTAACGATCCCCTGGGCCCCACGCCGCCATCCCCAGATCCTCGGGACGAAGCAGGGGGGGGGGGTCGTAGGGCCCACACGTGGAATGCAGACACGTAATGCCCGCAGAATGCGCCCGAGCCGCCGACCGCCGGGAATTATTAGTGGATTCGTGAGAGAGATCCCCTGAATGCAACGGAGCAGGTCTATACATGCGCGCCGGCATCGGTCCGTATATACACGCACGGGGCCGGAGAGGGGGAGGGAAGGGGCACACAGGCACGAACAGGTACGAAGCCGGGGACCTGCCGCCAGGTCCCACGACGGGCCCTGGACCCCCCGTCCCTCCCCCAATTCGGGCCGTGCAAACCTTTGTTCGCGATTCGACGAGTCCGAAAATCGATGCAGGATAAGACTCTCTCGCGCGATTAGGAGAATATTCGGTATATCCCCCGAAGGATATGACGAAGCGAGAGGCATGGTCGAGCTTGTACGGCGAATCAAAGGGAACCGGGAAGGAAAAGTTTCACGCGCTTAAGTTTCGTTTTTACCAGCTTGATCCGGATCTATCTTTACTTTGAAACAAGGCGAGGGAGCTTGCAGAACTGCCGGTTAGTTAAGACGAAACGAGAAGTAATCGGGGAATCGATTTTCGACGATCGCGCGCGGAAAGAAAAACCGCAGAGACTACGAGCGAGGAATCTGGATTATAAACGAAACGAAGAAGGAATCGATTCCGTCGTCGTCGTCGTCGCGGCGCGGCGCAGCGTGGCCGCCCGTGTGAGAAACTTTTAATTGCGTTCCGCGCGCGAGCGGAGCGGCCCATTTCGTCGGCACTCGGGGTCGAGAACCGGAACGAAGGGACGAGAAATCGTGGTGTAGGTAGGGAAGGTAGGTGGAAGAGGAAGAGAGACGAGAGGGAGACGACTGCAAAAGAGGGCGGCAAGGCGAACAGCGCGAGCGAGTGCATAACTTATTCGTGTTCGCCGAACGAAGAATTGTCTCGAGGAGGGCAATACGAGTAGGGAATAAACTGGGGCGCGCTGTGTGGAAGACGAATGTGAAAAGCGTCGGGAAAAAGTGGCGATCGAATGAAGACGGTGCACTGAGAGAAAAGTGTTTTATATTTATAACTGTAAAATTGCATGATAAAATAATTTTACAGTCA